CCATGGCTTTTGCACACAAAATTGCTCAGAACAGTCACTGTCCTCAGTGACTGTGGTCACTGTTACAAAATGGAACAGACTGCAAATCCCTCATGTCCTGCCAGATCCCACAGCGAAGGCCCCTTCTTGGCTTGTGCTCTGGGCCTGGTTGGAATCTGGCCTGGGTTTACTCTTCCCCATCCTTCCAGCTGAAGGCAAACCCAGTGGAGGAAGCTGGAACAGGCCCAGTGAGATCTTAAGGGTTCCCTAGACAGAAATAGTTATTTCTCTTGTACTTAGGGAGAAAGAAGCCTGTAAAATGGGACTCTGCTGGTTTGTTTGCTGCCTTCTGCCAAAGAATTCCGTGGGCAGCACCAGGCCCTCCCCCCACTCCCAGCAAGGCCCACATTATCCAGGCAGTGTCCTCTTCACCAACCTATGCCCTCTTCCCCATTCCGGGCCTCTGCCCGGCCCATGCCCCCTTCCTTGGCCAGTGCACCCTGCCCTCACAACAGTGCCCCGTCTGCATCCAGCCCCTCCCAACTTTATGTGCAGATAACTTCCCTAGCGAGTGCCTCGTCCCCTAGCCAGGTGCCACTCCCTAGCCCTTCCCCATTCAAAAGCCAGGAATCCCTTTTTCACCTTATACCAATTCATACCCTATACCAACCAGGCCCCTGGTCCTTGTTACCAGCCTATTCCCTCTTCCTCACTTCCCTAACCCTGCTCCTCAATCTATACCCCCTTGGAGCCAGGCCCCCTTCCCCAGGTAGTCCCATTTCCCACATTACACACCCTGCCCCAGCAGATAAGCCCATCCCCCATCAGAAGCCCTTAACCTGCCTGTGCTTCGAAGCCAGCCAGGCCCTCTTCTCAGCCGGGCTCTCTTTGTCCGTTTATACCTGCTTCCCCAGCTACCTATGCCCCCTTCCCTGGCCAATGCTAGCTCCCCAGCCTGGTTCCCTTCCCCTCCTAGCCAGGCTTCCCCTATACCCACCTAGACCCTCACCCCAGCGGAGTCACATTCCCAGCCAGTATCCTCTTTTGCAGCAACCCTACCCAGGCCCCTGCCCCAGCTTGTTACCCACCCACCCCCACCAGCCCGTGCCCAGGCTCCCTGACCCAACTTGGTTTTCCTTCCCCAGCCTATGTCCCCTTGCCCGGCCAGGCCCCTTTCCCCAGCCAGAGCCTCTTCCTCAGCCTATGCCTCCTTCTTTGGATTGGCCCCCTTTCTAAACCAGCCATCTTACCAGCCTGTGTCCAACTCTCCAACCTCTAGCCACTTGCCTGGAAGTTTTCTCACCCTGGGCCACAGCCCAGCCTCTTTACCATCCTATGCTGCCAGCCTCCCCTCCCCAGGCAGGCCTCAACCCCAGCCTGTCTTATTCCCCATGCAGGACCCTTCTGCTCGCAGGCCCCTCACCCAGCCGGGGCCTGTTCCCCGACCTGAGACCCTGTTGACAGCCTCCTTAGCCAGGCTACCCTTCCCCAGGCAAAGCCCCTTTTCAACCCTTTGTTCCCTTGCCCTCACGGGACCCCTTCTCCAGAAAGGGCCTCCTTCTGACAGCTAGGTGCTTGTGCCCAGCCTTTTCCCTTTTCAGCTGGACCACTTTTCCAAGGAGTTCCCCCTTCACTGGTCTTTCATAGCCAGTGCCTCCTTCCCTGGCCAAGCATCCTCCTCTCTCAGCTCTCCATCACCAGTAAAGACTCCTCCCCAACCATGTGATGTTTCCCTGCCAGCACCCCTTCACACACACATGCTCCCAGCTGGGAACTCTTTAGCACCCCTTCACACACACATGCTCCCAGCTGGGACCTCTTTCCCAGCCAGACTCCTCCCCACAGCCAGGTTCTCTTCACCCAGGGACCTAACAGCCTCTCCCCCGGTCTAAGCTCGTTTTCCCAGGCGGGCCTCCTTCCCAGTAAGGTAACTTTCCTCAACCGGTATACCTCTTCCTCAACCAAACCCCTTCCCTAGCTTATTCCCCCTCCTCAGCCAGACCTTCTCCCCATCCCTAGCCTGTGCCCCCAGCTAGGTCCCTTTCCTCAACCATGTGCCCTTCCTCAGCCAGGACACACTCCTTCGTTCCCAGGCACGATCCCTGCCCTAGCAGGCCCTCTCCACCTGCTAATCCCCCTCTTCCAGCCAGGTCCATTAACCCACCTATTATCCCATGCCCAGCCTATGTCGGTCTCAGCATTCGTACATCTCCCGACACCAGGTTCCATTCCTAGCCTGTGCCTCCCTCCCAGGCCCCATTCCCCTTCCAGAGCCCCTCCCCAGGCAGGCCACCTTTCCCTGCCAGGATATTTTCACCCCCCAATCTCCCCCAGCCCAGCCAGTCTCCCATTCTCAGCTTGTGCCACCCTATCAAGTCTGTGCTCCTTTTCCAAGACAGGCCCCTTCCCACATCCAGGCCCCTTCCCCAGCCTCACCCTCTTCCCCAGCTTTAGCCTACTTTCCCAGCCAGATCTCTTTACCTGGTCAGGTGCCATTCCCCAGGCCTTTCCCCC